CACTGTGCCTTGAGATCAAGTGTCACTAAAAGATCTTTTTATTATTATTAGGCAAATTCATGTGCCACAAGTTCTCTTGGATTCTTGGAAACTACATTGTCTCAGTTTTCTTGGTACCTATCTCTCTGTTATTGGTTTCTCTTCCTCCTGCCCATTAAGTGTTGGTGCTCCCTAGGATCTCTGTCCTTTGCTTACTGCTTTCCTTCTCCTCTTGGTTTAGCACCCATGGATACTGCTGCAGACTCTCAAAACCCCTTCAGTGTCTGTAGCCCTGGCTACTCTCCTGAGCTTCAGACTTCTGTACCCAAACCAGCTGCCACACGCCTGCTTGTGGGTCTTGAGTTTGTCATATCCCAAACTGAACTCACGGTCCTCTCCCTAAATCAGCGCTTTGTTTTCTTGGTCTCATTTGGTAGTACTACTTTTCACCTATCTTATCAAAACCCAGGAAATATCTTTGAACCCTTTCTCTTTTTGCCATTTTCATCCTTCACATGCAGTCAGATACAAAATCCTTCTAATTCTGCCTCCTAGGTATTTATCAAATTCATCAAGATATATAAATATGTTCTTATGATGGATATGTTAATTTCTCTTTAGGAAACAGAATTCTCAAAATTGCACTTAGTAGCGAGTCATATTTAGAATGGTTCCAAATTTAAAATGTTTGTAGAGAAGCATAGTAAATAACAGAATTTAGTCATGTCTTCTAATGGCCTTTCCTTAAGGATTTATTAACAAATTTTTAAATATAATTATTTAGGGGATCTCTGGGTGGCTCAGTGGTTTAGTGCCTGCCTTCGGGCCCATGGCATGATCCTGGAGTTCCGGGATCAAGTCCCACATCAGGCTGTCTGCATGGAGCCTGCTTCTCCCTCTGCCTGTGTCTCTGCCTCTTTCTCTCTCTCTCTCTCTGTCTCTATCCCTCTGTCTCTCTCTGTCTCTAATGAATAAATAAATAAAATCTTTAAAATATATATATAATTATTTAAAATACCTATTTAACATGTACTTTTAAAACATTGCCACTTAACAGCATTTACTTTATAATTAAATAAAAAATACATATATTAAACTGTTTCTCTTATATTCTGAAGTATCCGTTTTCTTTAAAAGCATTTTCAGAGGGCAGATGCCTAGAATGCTGTTGTAGAACCATACTGTTTATAATCTATCTTGGGAGTGTAGTTGCTGTTTTTACATCATCTCAATTCTGTTTATTCAAGCTTTTTATTTAAGTCAGCATTTCAAAGAAAGACCCTGGAATTTTCTTTCTCACAAAGTCCCATTGTAGAGACACATACGTGTGTGTAAAGAAGAATGAGGCCCCCTCTTGGCACCAAGCCCACGTCAGTCTAGCAGTTTGGCCATTTTTTTCACATTGCCGTACTCCCTTCAAAATGAAGGGGAAAAAGCTACTCTCCATTTTTTTGAGTCTACCAAGGGATGAGTCTACCAAGGATGAAATACTTTAATCCTTCAACTAATATTAGAGCACTTCTCTCAGGTATTAAGATAATGACAAAACATATTTAATTTATTCTCCTTCCATATAAACACTGAATATTTTTAAGGAAAAATATCTGAAGACACTGGGCTTTTTTATTAAAAAGAATTACACCTGCTCCAAAATAAAGACAAACATAAAGTTCGTAATGCACAAAAATGTAAGTCACTTAAAATGCGTACCTGAAGTAATTTGCAACTAAAACACTGAATTACCTAGAGATAAAGTCCTCACCTGCCTTGCTCTGAACTTGGGCCCTCACTCTGTGTGTTATTTGATTGGGAGCCAGTAGGGCAAATCCACTGTCATCACCCTCTGCCTTCATTCTTCATGTCTGGGTACCATAGTGGCCTTATTTCCCATTGCTTCTTCCACATGGACATTATTTCTCTCAGTCACTTTTTAATTTTCATATTTTTATATTTAGTTTTCATATTCAGCTTCATATTCATATTCACCTCAGTTGGTTAAGCATCCAAACTCTTGATCTCAGCTCAGGTCTTGAGCTCAGGGTTGTGAATCCAGGCCCCACATTGGGCTCCACACTGGGCATGGAGCCTACTTTAAGAAAAAAAGATTTAAGACACAGAGAACAAAAGAAAAATCTAAAACTTTTGTGAATCAAAGTACACTATCAAAAGAGTGAAGAGACAATCAACAGGAAAGGAGAAAATACTAGCAAATCATATATAGGGAGTTAAAATCCAGTATATAGAAAGAACTCCTATAACTCAACAACAACAAGAAAACCAAACAACCCAGTTAAAAAATGGGCAAAGACTGGAATAGACATTTTTCCAAGAAGATATACAGTTGACTAATTTACACGTCAAAAGATGCCTGACATCACTAACCATTAAGGAAATGCAGATCAAAACCATAATGAGATACCACTTAATACCATTATTATCAAGAAAAAAACAAGTGCTGACCAGGATGTGGATGAATCATAACCTCTGTGTACTCTTGGTTGGAATGTAAAATGGTACCACCACTTTTGAAAAATGTATGGAGGTTCCTCAGATTAAGCATAGAATGACCGTATGGTCCAGCAATTGCACCGTGGGTAAATACCCCAAATAATTAAAAGCAAAGACTCAAACAGATACTTGTACACCAGTGTTTATAGCAGCATTAATCACAATAGCCAAAGAATGGAAACAACCCAGATGTCCATCAACAGATGAATGGATAACCAAAATGTAGTATAGATACATATAAAGGAGTATTTTTCAACCTTAAAAAGGCATGAAATTCTGACACATGCTACAATATGGATGAACCTTGAAGACATGCTAAGTGAAATAAGCCAGACACAAAGGACAAATACTATATGATTTCATTTGTATGAGGTCCCTAGAATAGGCAAATTCATAGCAACAGAAAACAGAAGAGAGGTTACAGGAGCTGGAGGCAGAAAAAAAATGGAGTTAGTGTTTCATGGATATGGGGTTTCAGTTTATGATGATGAAAAAGTTCTGATAATGGTTACAAAACAATGAATTGACTTAATGCCACTACACTGTACACTTAAAGATAGCTAAAATGGTAAATTTTTTGTTATGTGTATTTTACCACAGTAAAGAAAAGTGACTTGAGACCTGTTGACCAAGTGCAAATCAAGGACATTTTCTGAATCCTGATTTGAGCACACTTGAAAAAAGAATTTCTGAAATAGGGACATTTGTAAAAGTGATGTGAGTTTGATGATATTGAGGAATTACTGGTAATTTTTTAGGTGTGGCAAATATATTTGTGGGGAGGGAACTTTAGAGATAAAGCTTGAATTTTCTACTATAAAATAAGATATTTAGATTTGTTTCAAAATAACCCAGTGAGGGGGTGGACAGAGGTGGTACCTGGGTGGCTCAGTCAGTTAAGTGTCTGTCTTCAGCTCAGGTCATGATCCCAGAGTCCTGGGATTGAGCCCTACATTGGGCTCCCTGCTCAGCAGGGAGTCTGCATCTTTCTCTGCCTCTGCCCTTCTCCTCACTTGTGCGCGCTCTCTCTCTCTCTCTCAAATTAATAAAATCTTTAAAAAAAAATAATCCAGTGCGAAGTGGGGGGGAAGGGAGTGAAAAGAAGTATAGATAAAACAAAATCTGCAATGAGTTGATAATTACTAAAGTTGATATGTAAGTTATTCATTATATTCTCTCTACTTTTGTGTATGATTGAAGTTTTCCATGATAAAGTTTAATTGTGTATTTTTGCTATTATATCAAATTTATGATCCAGAAGGAAAAAATTTTTTAGCTTATCAGGAAGCCATGATTTATAAGACATTGTTCTATATTTATTGCTATTCTTTTCATTGCAGGCACGGAAAACTAGACACTATCTATTTGAGCTAGTAAGGACAGACATAGAGCTAGTGGCCAGACACAGAGCTGGCTTCAAGTTCAACTTAATCCAGGGCTCAGACATCACCAGTATACATCTTTCAGGTCTGCCAATTAAAGATTGGCTGCCTTCTCAGGCCCTAAACACTGGCTCTTTGACAGTTCCAGGCACTCTCTCCATTGCCTCACATTCCTAAGTGAAACATTCTCACATCATCAAAATCCAGGGGGGTTGGGGAAGGAAAAAAAAATAATAAAATGAATGATTAAGCATTCTTGTCAGAAATTCCACTCTAAGCAACCCAGTTTAGGTCAAGGCCCATCCCTGAACTAGTCCCTGCAGCCAGACTATTGCAACCTGCTCCTTAGCTTGGGTCAGCTCTTTGCCATCTCTGTACCGATTCACTGAGAATACAATGATTGACTTAGGCCAGTCAGTATCTACCTTCAAAGGTGAGGATGAATCATCCTACCAAAACTGCATGTTTGAGAAGGGGAAAGGAATGGTTTTCCAAAGGAAAATCAAGTTACTGCTGCAAAGATTTAATTACCTCATTTTCAATAATATAGTTTGACCTTTTATATATTGAGATCTTTGTTTTACTCAACTGAATTTTTAAATTTGCTCCACTTGAGATGTTATGAACAGTGAAATTTGAGCAGAAATTGCATGAAGTGCTGTGCAAATAAAACCTGTGCTGGATACCTATTATTTGCTAGCCAACATCCATTCCCCTTTTTTAATAGTAATAATAACCTGATGAAAAAAACATAGTATCATTTTAAGTATAAGTACTATACTTAATTCTCTGTTACAGAAATTTTCCACTGTACCGAAGAGAGAGGTAAATTAAAGTAAAAATGTGTGTTCTTATTTTTTCTCCCCCCACTTCTTTTTGAGGGGGCTGGGTGGTGGCGGGGAAAGAGAATCCTAAGCAGGCTCCATGCCCAGAGCCAGACACAGGGATTGATCTCATGACCCTGAAGTCATGACCTGAACAGAAATCAAGACTCATGCTTAAGCAACTGAGCCACCCAGATGCCCCAAAAATGTGTGTTTTTAATTAAATGAAATTTGCATGTAGTATTTATGTATGATTACTTCTAAACCTGAAACTTACTTTCTGATGTTTTTATTTTATCTCTTTCAGGACTGATTTCATATACTGAGTATCTTTTCTTGCTTACAATCCTTACTAGTAAGTACCCTACAGTTTTTGTCACTGATCATGTGGAATCATCTGTTCTTAGCAAACAAGGTTTTGGAAATTTGGTATTTATGTCTTTATCATTAAAACATTATTGCTACCTTAGTTTCTATTTTTTAACACAATGATACTGTTGGGTTAGATTAGCCCTTCTGTTCCCTTTGTACTATGGCTCCCTGTAACTTTGTCTCCTTAAAAGACTTGTTGAACAGACGAATCAGACTTAGCCTTCACATGTTAAAAAAAATCCCTCATCAGACATTCTTCAAAATTCCTGGTCAGTACTTTTCAGATTGGTCATGAAAATCAAGGAAGGACTGAGAAACTTTCACAACTTGGAGCAGAATAAGGAGACCTAACAACTAAATGCAACATGGTTTCTTGTGTTTGATCCTAAAGTAGAAAAATAGCATTAGTGGAAAAACATGAAATCCAAATAGTCTGTAGTTCAGTTAAAAATGCTAAAAATGAAAAAAAAATGCTATTACCAGTGTTAATTTCTTAGTTTTGACAATGATACTATAGTTATATAAGATGTGAACATTAGAGGAAGCTGAATGAAGAGTATGTGAGAACTCACTATATACTATCTTTACAACATTTCTTCGGTCTAAAATTATTTCAAAATAAAAAGATTTTTTAAAAGCCATACTCTGAGAAAGGGAAATAAAGACTAATAATCAGTATGAAAATAACCAAGTTACTATAAGAATATAGGAAAACTCCTGGTAGAGTTAAAGAAATAAATTCTCAAATTAATTTTGCTTTGAGAAGCAAAGCGCTTAATAGCAGAACAACGCAGCCAGGAAAACATATCATCAGCCTTTGAAAATTGTTATGAGAAGAGATTATTTTTTTCTCTGTTTAGGCACTTGTATAATAGTTTCTGGAAGCTTTTTTTTCAAATTTGAAGACCTATAGATCAGTAAATAATTTGCATTTCACCAACATTTAAATAACTATTCACTTTACTTAATTGCAGAACCCCATACTGGGTTTCATGTTGCTTTTAAAATGCTGGATGCAGATGGTAATGAGATGGTTGAGAAAAAGGAATTTTTTAAGGTAAGTAGATTCTATTTATTTTTGGTTTATCATAAAACATTTGGATGCTTGTGTGATGTACATTTCCATAAAAATCAAAATTATATCCACTGCTTACATATGAAATGTCAAGAAATCATTTATACATTCAAAAGTGTTAAATTTTCTATATTATAACCTTGAAAAAATTGTAATGGAATAGAGCATAAGACTCCTGTGGGAGAAATGAGCTTGTGCATCTACATTTTTTAGAGTTTTATTTTTATGATTTCAGCAGGAAATAAAATGGAAAGGGCCTCATAGATATGTTCAAAATTACTCTTATACACCCCTACCTCCACAAAAGGAACAAGAAAAATAAAAACTTAAGCCTTCATAAAGAATAGAGAAAAATGAAAAAACTACAATAGGTATAAATGGATGCAGATTTTCCAGAAATTTGCTAATATTTGAAAAGCTGAAAATATGTTCCCAAGACAACTCTAAGACATACAACCAGTAAATTTCACTCCATTTCAAGAATGTTGATGACAATATTAAAAAAAAAAAATCCTCAGTGCATATAAACTTTTGGGTATGTGCCAAAGTTAAATGTTTTTAATGTATTAGAGTCTTTTGTGAAGAAAAAGATAAAATATGTAGATAAATATATAACACAGCATTTGGTACATACTAACTTCTTAGACCTACCATTGATAATTACTGAGTACATATATAAATGACTCTTTATGACTTTTTTTTTTAAAGTTTTTGAGACATGAAACATGGAACTCTCTTACATTGCTGATGGGAATGTGAAATGATACACACATTTTGGAAAACAAAATTGTTAGCTTCTTAATGTATACTCAGCATATGACATGGCAGTTCAGTCCGAACTGAAACATGGCAGTTTCAGTCTGAAACAGTTCAGTGTTTTTATTCCAGAGTCAATGAAGAGAAAACGTAGGTTTACCCAAAGGCCTGTATGTGAATATTCATAACAACTTTATTTATAATAGCCCCAAACTGGAAACAACCTAAGTGTTCACCAAGTGACTAGACAAACAAATTATATCCATACAGTAGAATACTACTCAGCAATAAAAAGGAAAAAATTACCAGTACATACAACAACATGGATGTATGTAAGTGAAACAAATAGTGTACATACGGTATGAGTCCTTTGACATGAAACTCTAGAAAAGGAACATATCTATACTAACAGAAAGCAGATCACTGGTTGCCTGGGTCGAGAGGGAATAAGGGAGTAAGAAATTGACTGCAGATTAGCTGCAGCTTCCATAAGAGAACATCTTTAAGTGCTGGAAACATTTTAAATCTTGGTTAGGATACTAGTGACTTGGTGCATAAATTTGTTACAACCCATCAAACTATATTTAAACAAGTGCATTTTATTACATATGAATTATACCTCAGGAAACACCTTTGACAAAGTTCCATTCCACAGGCTTTGCAAATTTAATTACTGAGATACTTGGTTTTATATACAAGACACCGTCTCACAGTCTAAAAACAAAGGACATAACAAAAGGTTCTAATCAGAGATTAAACTTATAAAACAGGATCCAAAAAAGGTAGGCGTATTTGACATTTTAGAAATTATCTGAAAGAGTGTATAAATCTAAGCATATGGAGAGAGATTCTCTCCCTTTGCCCTCCCTCCCAGTCATGCTTGCTCACTCTCTCTCAAATAAATAAATAAATCTAAAAAAAAATGGGACTCGGGAGAGGCAAATACTGTATGGTCTTACTTCTGTGTGGACTCTAACAAAAAACCAAGCTCCTAGAAAAAGAGATCAGATTTGTGGTTACTAGAGGCAGGGTTGGGGAGGAAGGAGACTAAGAAGAAGATGATCAAAAAGTATAAACTTCCAGTTAGATGATAAATAAGTACTAGGAGTGTAATGTACAACATGACAACCATAGTTAACACTGCTATATGATACATAGCAAAAGAGTAAATCCTGGGAGTTCTCATAACAAGGAGAAAACTTTTTTTTTTTGCTTTTGCTTTTTATTGTGTATATATGATATGATGGATATTAACTAAACTTACTGCAGTAATCATTTCAGAATACATGTGAATCAAACCATCATGCTTGTACGCCTCAAACTTACACAATGATGTATGTCAATTATGTCCCAGTGCAACTGAAAAAAGCTAATATTTTTGGACTATTAACATACTAGAAGGATCAAAGTCTGTAAGTCATAAAACAAGGCTACAGATTTTCCAACACAGGAGAAGACATCCTGTTGAAACTTCTTATGACAGAGGTTAGAATTTATAGGAGTAACACTAATACCTCCTTAGTTGGCAGTATCAGACAATGAAATATTTCATATAAATGATTTTTAAAATTGAGAATTACCTTTAACATTAAATTTTTAACATTTGTAATTCTTTTTGATAAGCTCTCCAAGAATATATATATTTCCCTGTCTTTTCAAAGTAGTTATACTGTGCATAATTTATCCTTTTTTTTTTTGACAACTCAGTATTATCATTATGAAGATCAGTTTCATAATGATGGGCTAGTTAGATTTTGAGAGTTTCCTAAGGGCATGAGATACTTATCCTTACACTGAATGGCCTTAGACTTTCATGCTTTTAATTCATATTTCTGGCTTTTGTCCTCATTGTTAGGATATCACTAGTTTTTTATCACTGATATCAGTGAGACTAAACAGTTGATCTTTCAATTTCAATCATCTAGTTTTTCTTCCAGTCTCCAGTGCAGTGGGAAAACAGTAATAAAGTTTGTTAAAATCATATGGAAAGTACAGAATCTTTACTTGCCCTGTCCAGTAAATTAGCCAGTAGCCACATGTGGCTGTTGAGCCCTTTAAATAAGGTTTGTGGTTAAGAAGCTTGAGTTTTTAAATTGTAATTAATGTAAAATTTAAATTTAAAACCTGACATTTGCTTCAGATATTGGGAGATTTTCATATATGTTTGAAGCAAGTTGGGTATATGGATCTACTTTTTCAATTGTAAATTTTATGAAATCTAAAAACACAGATCAAGAATTTCCAATGAAATGTAACATCTGAATTGAGATGAACCTGTAAATGTAAAATGCACACTGGATTTTGAAGAAAAAGTGTAAAATATCTCAATTTTTATATTGAATATATGATGAAGTAATAATGTTGGTATATAAATTCATCTTCATCTTTTTTTTTTTTTACTTTTTTAAATCTGTCTACTAGAAAACTTAAAATACTTACGTAGCTCCATTATATTTCTGTGGGACAACACTGCTTTAGAATATACATGACTATAAATTCTGATAAATATTCATATATATTTTATTATATGTCCCTCATGACAGTTGTTTCAAATGCTGAAAAACATCTTTCTTCTGGGTTTGCAACTTAAGAAAGAAAGCTGGAGTATTCCAGAGGATTGAGGTTGCCTGAAGTATACCTTTAGACACATGAAGTTTCACTTACTGTTCAGAAAAAAAAGTATTCACTTTCTCAAAGTGGTAGAAGTTAAAAGTAACAGAAAGCTATAGAGAAAACTATACTGTGTAACTGCTTAAAGAATAGTTGGGGGATACCTGGGTGGCTCAGTGGTCGAACATCTGCCTTTGACTCAGGTCATGATCCCAGGGTACTGGGATCAAGTCCTACATTAGGCTCCCCACCAGGAGCCTGCTTCTCTCTCTGCCTGTCTCTGCCTCTCTCCCTATGTCTCTCATGAATAAATAAATAAAAACTTTTTTAAAAAGAAAAGAATATTTGGAAGGTTTCATGTATTCAAACAAGTTATATATAAGAGATACAGGTTTAAAAAAAAGAAATTATTTTATTACAACATCATTGTGAACAAATGTGAGCAAATCTGCCTTTTACCAAAGGAATAGTAAGGATAAAATTTACCATTGTACATCAACTGGTTTACGAAGCAGCCTGGAATTTCACTTACACATTGAAGGTGCTTGTGAATAGACAAAGTGGAAAAAAAAACAAGGATTTCCAGATAACATGGCTCTTACTTAGGACCTCAGGTTAAAAAAAAAAAAAAAAAAAAAACAAGCAGGAAAGGAAATACTAGATAATCATCATAGATTTATCTTTAAATTCAACTTTATTCAGGCTAAGGAAAGCAGAAATAACCATATTGCTCTATTTAGCATCAGTAACCATTATTCATGGTCTCTTGGGGAAACAAACTTTATAAAGTATAGACCACTATAAAAGCATTGTTGCTGTTCTTATGTGTCAGAAATGTGAACAGAGATACCTAAGAGGCAGAACCCCCTAATGTGAACTGTACACTGCTGTCAGGAGAAACCAGCAGGCAGTTATGGAGACAATTGTGCTCAGTGTTCCAGACTCATCTCACACCACAGTGTGAAAGCTGAATTAATAGAGAAGAGATTGGGGGATGTGCAGGTGTTCAATTGATTAAGTAAGTGTCTGCCTTCAGCTCAGGTCATGATCTCCAGTCCTGGGATCAAGTCCCACATCAGGCTCCGTGCTCTAGGGGGAGCCTGCTTCTCCCCTGCCTCTCCCACTCCCCCTGCTTGTGCATTTGTGCACTCTCTCTCTCTCTCTCTCTCTCTCTCTCAAATAAATAAATCTTTAAGCTTTAGAGTAGTCCAGTTTACAATTGTGAATGCTGATCATAAAAATAAAACAGTAAACTTAATAACTCACGAAATATGATGTAGTCAATTTAAAATGACAGCATAGAGAAGATGAGGGTGTAGAATTACCCTAAACTCACTTCCCCTGGATACACCAAATCTATAGCTGTGTACAGATAATTCCCTCTGAAAAAGACCGGCAAACTAGTTGAACAGCCCCTCCACACCAAAGGATAAAAAGGCCACATGGGAATGAATAGCAGAATTAGAGACATGTTCTTACAAAAAAAAACAAACAAACAAAAAAAAAAACCTTACCCCCAGCATGGCAACCTACAAGTGGGAGGGATCTTACAAATAAATAAGAATGTATTCCATGGGCAGGTTGAGTGGCTCAGCAGTTTAGCACCGCCTTCCGCC